TGAGAGGGAAAGGGCTCGTGATGACACGAGGAGAGACGTCCCGGAGGTACGTCCCATCAAAGGGTGGGGCATGTGTAACCTAGCACACGGTACAAAAAGGAACGCGAAAAGGCTACGTCACTGACCACCGGGCAGTACTAGCCGAGCGATGGAGGTTAACATGACATTACTAACCCAGTTGGGAAAGAACAACAGCAGCAGAACAAGAAACAAAGGGATATGGCAGGTACGCCAATTGACCGAAGAAAGCGAGGTCGCGCGCGGACGTTGGGTAGCATAAATAGGCTAAGATTTAACAGAGTAGACACAGAGAGTGCGCGGAAGACAGCGTGACGATTGACCCAACCTCCGACGAGATGGCATATACGTAACTATGGGTTTTCTTTGTATGTTAGTTGATTGTACAGACTGTTTAGATTGTTGTTAGAGTAAATGGTATAGATTTCGGAAGGGACAGTATTGCGGGTTAGTAATATAGGTTAGCGGGGTTGGGAGTAGATGTGTCGCGGGAATGGTTTGAGCGAGACGTACGGGTCACAACGGTAGTAACAGCGATTGTAGGCAAGCGCTGGGTACTCATTAGAATACATGACTAATTTATAACGATTCGGGTGTTGGGATTGAAGTGTACGGTGATGGGGGATATTAATTAATAAATGTTATGCGTGTGTGTATTATATAAATTACTGCGTTGCGTGGTATATCAGTGGCTGTCTTTTATGTCCTCGAGCCGGGTTATTCCCTCACGGGGTACTGAACAGAGATACGATCACGCCGTCACGCGTGGGCTCTAACAAAGGAGCAGGCGGTGACATGAAATGATGCCAGAGTGACCAGGATATAAAATTTCAGTCACGTGATACGCAGCGCTAACGCATGAGTGATCCAATTCGATTGTTTTCCAGCAGTTAATGAACATTCCGTTTCAGAATTCGTAGGGCCAGGTAACGGGCAGTAAGGGGTAAGCTATTTTTGGGAGACGCTAGAGCTAGGGCGTATAATGGCGCAAGGGATAAATATGGGGGATATCGTACAGATTATGGGACAAGCGCTTAGTCCGGTGGTAAGGGAGATAAGAGATGAGATGAAGCTGCAGGGGATACGACGAGAAATAAGGAAATTTACGGGAGATGCGAAGGCAGATAGCATGAAATTTAGAGAATATGAGAGACAGTTAGAGGGAATAGGCGCTCGGCTGGGGGCGAATGCAGACCTAAAGGAGTTACTCCTAATGACTACAGCAGGTTCGGCATATGATTTTTGCATCCGGCAAACGAGGGAGAATGCGGGGATAGGTGGTGAGGAGCTAATAGAACTGATGAGGGAGAGATTCAGGGATCAGTTTGAACGGCTAGCCGCGAGACAAGATTTGAAAAGAATCATACAGAAGCGGGACGAGACGATACAGGAGTTCGAGGAACGCATCGCCAGGGTATACAGTACGGCTTACCCAGGAGAGATAGGACACGCACCGGGAATGCAGGAAACGTTAGTAGAATCCTTCATAGATGGATTGGCTAAGAAGGCGATTAGGAGGAACTAATAGCGCAGAACCCTGATACCCTACAAGCGGCAGCAAAATTAGCGAGAGAAGAAGATAGACTAGACAAAGAGGTAGCGCTGAGGAAAAAAGAGGTCCCAATGGAGGTAAATAGCGCCACAGCAAGGGAAGGGGAAGGTCGATTAAAGGAGAGAGAGTGAGAGCGTGTGATCGAGAGAGAGCGAGAGAGAGAGAGAGAGAGAGCGAGAGAGAGATAGAGAAAGAGCGAGAGAGTGCGAGAGAGAGAGCGATTATATATATGGGAGAAAGAGAGAGCGAGCGAGAGAGAGAGAGCAAGTCTATGTATGTGAGAGAAAAAGAGAAAGAAGAGAAAGAGTTGGAGAGAAGAAGGGCAACAGAAGTGTGTCTTGAATTTCTTATCCTGTTATCAGGCTGTGACATTTTTTTTGATGTTTAAATGTGGATAATTTCTATGCTGGGGTACCTACTAGTTTTTAATGCTGACGAAATCAATGTGATAACTAGCAGATCTCAAGAAATTTTTAAACCAAGTAGCCAGCGTGTTGTAACTGGTTTGTAACTTATATAGAGCTGATGGTACAGTTGTTTTCTGTTTAATAAAGCTGATTAGCAGTAGAAAATTGGATTTCCAGCCAGGGAATGCCCAGCCCAATCAAATCCCTTCGGTGTATCATTTTTACGGCACCTCGGATTTCTTCACTTCATTGACGGTGTTACGGCTACTAGTGTGTACTGATTCTTCAGGGGTTTTTGTTTAAATGTATTTACTTGTGAAGGTGAATAGGTGCAGTACGTTCATTCACTTTCTCATACCTCGGTTCCTCTATCCCTCACTAATATATATGCTACTGGGGGGGTTAAGTAGCTGCGTCAACATCTGGATCCCCAAATTCATCATGAACAACTTTGCCTCATCAACGTTGAGGGACGGCAGTGTAGCCCGCTGTTTTTGCTAAGAATAACATTGGTTAAAACTAATGAACTGGAGGATACGTGACGTATTGGGGTCACCGGTTCTATGGGTGCCGACAGGCTAGAACACTGTACAGTCAGTGAACGTACTCGCACGAATGCACCTACGGATTTCTTCGTGAGAAAAAATGTTGCCAGTTAGTTCTAGACAGAGATTATCTGTAGTAATATGCGACTGTTTGAACATTATTTGTAGTGCGGCAGCAGCGAGAAGTGTTTTTGCGCGATATTGTATAATTTTATTAGTATGGTACTGTGCAAGTGGGATGTATTTCGTGTAGATATGCAGACGTTGTCAACATATTATGTATTTTGAAATAATGAATATTAAAAGATGAGAAAATACGAATGGGGAGCAAGAGAAGAAGAAAGAGACACGAGATGAAGATTTGATAGGCGGGCAAAACAGACCTATCAACCAAGCGATGGCGACGGAGAGGGGTCATCGGACGATGAAACGGCGTTGGGAAACATACGTCGAAAGAGAGGAACAACGCCGGACGACGAACGGCGACGAACGACAGTGACGACGAAGAAACACGAGCGTCACATTACTGTAGGACCGTGGGATTTCCGACAAATACTATTTCTCACACCGCCTAGGTAATCAACGAAATGGACAGGGGACAGCTCTGCTGACCACCAACCACATACTTGGGGGGCCATAAATGAGTTAGCATTGTCAGAAGAAGGTCCCCGACCGAGGCTACCCCGAATTCGTCGACCAGTTGTCATCAAGGGAAACCTTAATGACAAGCGATCGCGACACGGCCAGACACGGCCGGACACGGCCGGGGTACAACGGCCTTCGACAAAAGGCCGTTGGAACGAGGCGAGGTCGAGAGAGACGCATAAAAGGAAGGGTTTTGAGTTAGTTCGGGAGAGTCCCGGACCATCACTTGGTATGTGTATATGCTGCTGCTATTCGTGTTTTAGAATAAACTTATAGTTGTTCACCGTTTACATCAGCGTTACATCTACTATCTACGTCTACTGTCTACAAGCGTACATTCTACGCTACATTTGGCGCCGTTTGACCAAAAGAATCTTCCTCTCCCTTTGCGACACAATGCGAGGTGCTACCACTACGATGCACGAAAGGCGAGAGAAACATTGAGTGAAGACAGCTGGAACGATGAAGAAGAAGAAGAAGAAGAAGAAAGAAGACGAAAACCTATGACTATTGGACTATTGTGACGTGGGAATGAAGTGTTGCCGTTTTCGCTAGACGAGCATTGTGTATGGAAATGCCTACGAACAATTATGTTGCCGCTAAGACGCATGTAAGCCAGAACTTATCTTGTACGACCTGGATATCGACGATGCGATCGAAGAAGAGCAGAATACGATCACGACGACACGATCGAGGAACAGCACAATA